ATACCCTAGGGGGTGCAAGTGTGATTTGTGTGTCCATTTTCATGCTTGTTTGTCTTATATTAGGTCCAACTATTTTGTTCATTTTTTTATTCGCATATAAACCCTAATTCTAGCATTGTATTTTAGAAAGCGATAAAGTGCGAAATTTAAATTCCTACGCTATTACAATACAATAATATAGGGAGGGGGGTACAATGTTTCAAATGGGGATTTTGACAAGGAATTTAAAAACCTAAAACTATTACATCAAGATTTGAATTATTTACAATTTAATTAATGTACAATAGTTAAAAATGGAATAAAATATGCAAGAATGCAAAAAGGAGGTTTTTTTTTTATATGTATGAAAAAAAGATTATTTATGTAAAAATAAAAAGAAAATAAAAATATATTATTCTTGGAGTATTTTTAAATTTAGGGCAAAACCCTAATTTTCATTAAATGAAATGTATTATTATTGATATATACAATATTTTATCATTTATACACAAAAATAAAATAAGAAAAGAAATGTATTTGTAAAAAATGATTTTTTAGTGTTTAATAAAATAAAATATGTATATTTTTAGTATTTTATTCTAAGTATATTAATAAATATATATATTTATGTATTAAGTTCTAAATATGTATTATATATAAATAATAATAATTTTTAATATTAAAAAAAAAGGTATTTTTTATGTAAAATATTTTCAGAGGGTATAATAAAATAAAAATGAAAATAAAAGTATTTCTACCTATTTCTCAATATTTTAATGAAATGTATATATTTATTTATCTAAGTATTAATCAAAAGAAAATCATATAAATACCTAATAAATTAAAAAATGGTGAGAAAAAAATATTTTTATATTTTTTATGTCATGAGAAAAAATAAACAAAGTCAATCAAAAAAGAAAAGGGTCAAAAAGTCAAAGAAATAAGCAAATGGGCCTTGGGGGTGTGAAAGCAAAAGAGTGGTGCAAATAAGAAAAGTATTCCAGGCCCAGCCCAGAACCAGTCATCTTCAACCTCTGAACAACATCACTCACGCGTTTTCTATCTCTTGATTCCTGGACTTTCAAGCAAAACTCATAACATGAAAAGTGTACAGCATGAGAAGACGAATTCAACCATGTAAAGAACTTGACTTAACTCTCTAAGATGAGGGAGAATTTCTTCTCCCCCAATTTCTGACCTAACTTTTATGCCATGTTCAGACTCAAAATTCTTGCAGCACACATAACATAAATGAAATCTAACTATATGGGCATGTTCAGGGCTATGATTGTGACATATTTTCTTCACAAACCTAAAGCTAACAATGCCTAATAAGAGAGATAGAACTTCATGAAGATACCTGTTCAGTTGGAATCGTGCTTTGCAATGGAGGAGTTTTCAGAGCAAGATGATGATTTGTATAGCTTCCTTGAAGTGTAAGGATGCTATTCCAAGTTCTACTTTGTCTTGAAACTCCCTGAATCGTGCTAGAGAACTTCAACTGCAAAACAGAAAAACAAAAATGGTGAAGTGGCTTAGAGGTGTTACAGATCGTGCTTTTGCTTTTGGTTAGCTTGCATAGATGGTATGGAAGGTGTGTGAACTGGTTTGGGCAAGAGAGCTCAAGAGAAGTGAGAGATAGCACTCAAACTGCAGGGCCTGCCATGTTTTTGCAGTTTGAGAGTGATTCTGAGATGGAGGGTGTTTTGAAGGCAAAAGGCTCGTGTATTAGCTTGGTTGTGTTGTGTGGAATGTGTTTGATAACTTTGTCTAAGTGTTCTTGAGCTGATATGATAGTTGGTATGAGTTATGCCATGTTTCTTCAACTTTAAGCAACAAATGCCAACTTGTGTTTCTAGGTCAGTAGAGGACCCCTAATCCTGCTGCAAAGCTTCTCTTGATCAGAGTAATTTGTTCATAATCTTGTGCCAATCAGATTTGCAATGTACTTGTTGGATTTTCAATTTGACATAAAGTGTGACTTTTCAAAAATGGTTATTTTGCTTTATCTAAAAATGGATTAAACCTTCATACAATGCTTTAGCTCAAAGAACATGGTCTTGGCACAAAGAATATGCATTAAATTATTGAGTGTAACTTGGTTTAAGGACCTGTAATCTAGCCTAAAGCATGCTGAGTTCAAATTGCAACATTATGGACATGTAATTTGGTCATGAACAAAGTGAGTTTTTGCCATATTGTGAAATTCGATTCTCCCTAACCATGAGGTTGTTTGAGAAGTTCTTGGACATTTTGGAAAGCTTGGAATGTGTACTACAATCCATCTTTGAAATGCAATTTGAAATTCCAAGTGGAAGTGTATGGAAAATGGCCTTGAAGTGGGGTAGAAAACCTTGTCAAAATAGGTCAAAAATTCACTAAGTTAAGAATGGTTTAGTGCCCTTATTCAAAAATTTGTAACTTGAGATACAAGCTTCAAATGAGAAAACTTTGTGAATCAAAGTTGTAGATTATGCAACAAGCTACAACTTTCATGTTTTGACTTTTGTTTGAATCTAAATGAATCATAGTGAAAAAGTGGGGCAAAGTTGGGAAACAATTAGGGTTTTCCATGACTTAGAAAAATTCTAAGTTATGAAAAATTCCATTTTAAACCCTAATTTTCATTTCTTGGTTTATTGGTGAACAAGTTTCATGATTTGGCATGTTTTGATGAAAAATGAATCTTGACTCTTGATTTTGACCAAAAAGTCAAAGTTTGACTTTTTAGTGTACAGTCAAAATTGATCAATTGACTGGGAAATTCAACTGTCAATCTTGTGTACTTGGGATCTTTTGAGTTTGTTGAGCATGTCAAGACAATTCCATGGGGTCCTTGAGTCCATATGTGAGCTTGGTTTGCCATTGGCTAGGTCAAACAGTAAAAAATTTCCTTTGTGCAGTCAAAACCCTAAAAATGACCATTTTGCCCTTTTGATGATCTGATCAAATTTCTTGTGGAATTATGATCCAAACTTGATCAAATGGTCCATATGAGTTCATAATGTTGATGTGGGTCAATTTTCATGAGGTTTGACTGTCAATTGGCCACAATTGACTTTTCCCTAATACAGCTGATTTCTAGGTCAACTGTCCAATTGACTGGGCAAAACTTGGAATCAAGACTTGAAACTTGGTATAGGTAAACTTGGGAGTCCAATATGAAGCATGAAAGTCATCTTAGACATTTTAGGTCAAAACATCTTTGTGCAAACACAAACCCTAATTTGGGGTCCACCAGTGCAAGGAGAAATCTTGAGCAGAGGAAACCCTAATTGGATCTTGATCTTCAAAGGTCTGGTGATGAGAAAATGTTGAGGAAATGGGAGGGAAAATTTTGGGTACAACACCATGGTTATAGGATCTAAGAGCTTTGGCATTAGGGTTTCTCTCTATGGATTGAGGTTGCTATCTTATTCAAAGTTGATTCAACTGGTGCTCTTGTCATTCTTGGTATGAGATTAGGGTTTTAGGGTTTTGTGTTCATGGACATTATGGGCTTCGTCTCATTAAGCTACAAAGCTTTCCTTTGTCAAGATTTCTCGAGCGCATCAAGTGTTTGGGGTTTCATCAAGGCTTCATCAGAGGTTGCCCTGGAATAGGGTGACATTCAACTTGGTCTCTTTAAGAATTTGGTATATCATTGAATTGTATCGTTCAAAGAGTTTTATTACATGTTACCTATTAAGTGAGGCTCGAAGATAAAGTCATTTGAAATTTAAAGTGCAAACAACGACTTGAGAAATGGGCTTGCCATTTCTTTGAAATAAAACGGTTTGGGTTGCTTGATTCGGGTATGTTCGTTGATAAATGGAGTGGAATTCAAGACTAATCGAATGTCATCAATCATTTTGGTTATTAAATCGTCAAAAAAAGAAGGGGAAGCCAATTCAAAATGATTGGAAAGCAAAAGCGCCTGAATTACTTGGAGTTGAAGTTACAAGTTGCGGAGTTCAACATATATCATTGTTTCATTCGCAATTCATCATCGTTATGCAAATATTGCATATCATTCTCCGTTTATGTCACTCAAGTTTAATATCTCAACATTCATCATCAAAGTCCATGATATCCATCACTATTCTACCAACAATATTTCAGGAGCAAAGAAATGAGTATTCAATTACAAGTTCAAAAGCGATCAAGAGGAATTCAAACTCAATTTTGACGAGAAAAAACAAACATTTTTTTGAATAATGGGGGAGATTGATATTGAAATCAAAAGATTCCAAACGATATTCATCAAAAGCTATAATTTCATTCAAAATGTCAAGGAAGGCTTGTTCAGAATCCATCCCAAAATTAATTATAGAATACACAAAAAGAGTGACATGAATTCCTAAGTCCGAAAGCCTATGTCAAATTAAATCCTCAAGCTGTTACAACCAAGAAACAATCCTCGCACGTTTAAAATCCATGACTAATTTTATTGATATTGTAAACCCCAAAATATTCATTCCTAACTGCGTTTTCCATCTAGACTCAAGATATGTTCCATATTGTTTTGGAGTTATTTTCTTCATGGCCAAAGAAGTTATGACTCTATCATTATTCTAAGACAACCTCCTTAGATCTTGCCAACATAAGTCCTTACCTTCTGAACCTGCATAAACCAAATCATTGTCCAATTGATTGTTAGAAGAAATCGCAAAAAGATAGTCACGTGTTAAATTCTTTCATTTTGAATTATGCCAAAAAAATCACTGTCAAGACAGGTCAAACAATGTGTACATACCTGCAGTAACTAAAGAAGCATTATTCTTTTGGAGCATGTGTTAAATTCATAAAAAATGGGTTCACCTAATTACTACTATACCAAATCCGATAAACCAATTTCCAACTAGCAAAGACTTACCCTATATCAAGCTAACTCGCGGATGCTACCAACGCCAAGGCATGTTCCATTAAATAATCCAAAAGTAAGATGAAACTGAGAATTAGAATGGAGATATAGATCGCGCTATTGTGTTGCCACTCGCAGAAGAGAATCAAAAAGTGAACGGTTGCAATACTGAGATTGGTTATGAGCGATATTTAAAATGCCAGAGTGCATTCATTCTAGCACCCTGAACGCTTCTGCTTCCGTTCTTACGGCCTACCAACCTGAGTATGAGCTTTTTCCATGCCAAGAATTCACTCTTACCAAAAAGCATGCCATAAGGGAAGCTATTATCCAAATAAGATGTAGGCAAGCACTTTGGCACACCTATTCTGAAACCAACATCGTTGCCTTTATGCTTCAATCTGAAACCTATTTGTATATCAAACCTGTATGTTGACAAACAAGAGTTCAAAAAAATGAGGGTTCGAAGCAAAATAGAAGAAAAACACGATGAAAGCTTTTTAATACGGAATTAGAAGTCAGAAAATAGCAGGACATAAGTTGAGTGCGAAATCAAAGCAGAAAAAGGAAGGAAAATCAGGAAGATTTACTAACACTTAAAATACCGTAGAGTTCCCCAAAACCAATTGATATAACATAAATTGACCAGCTCATCAAAAGATAACTAACTTTCTAACACCTCTAACCGTTTCCTAACCATTTTCTAATGGATTACAGAATTGGTAACAGAATGGGGAGGAGGAGGTGATAAGAGAGTTCATAACTGAATTGAGGGAGGAGAATCAAAAAAAGAGTTTACTCGAGAGGATTCATTCTGAAAAAACCATTGGAAAATTTCATTCTTCTCTCTGAAACCTCTACCTTGATCACGGTAACCTTCCTCCTTGAACCCCCTTTCATCCTTGTGCATAACGGACTCTGCATCTTTATTCAATCTTGAAACTTCATTCAATCTCTACATCTTCATCTTCCCCACATCCTCTCTCGGAATCCTTCTTCACTGAAACTTCAACGTGAATAACATCAGTGTTCACCTTCCTCTTTGCAATATGTCTCTATAAACTTGAATCTTCATCACCACACCTTCAAGCCTGAAACTCCTCGCAATCACATTATATTCATATCTCACAACAACAACGAAAACTCAGTAATAGAGAGAAAGTACAAAGTTGACGGAAGCGAAAGATTGATTTACAGAGAAAGAAGAAGAATATAGAATAAGAAGAAGAAGAGAAGAATAGAGCGAGAAGATTACCAGACTTTGCACCTCGTCAAGATTCACTGTGCTCGCCATTGTTCAGATCGCGCCTCATCGATGTCTGAGTCAGGTTCACATTCTTCTTGTGTTGTAGTTTAAGGTTGAATTTTATCCATTTCTCGTTGGTTAGAGGAGGCCAATGGCAATCACCGAAGCAACGACAATGTTAAACGAATGAGGTGAGAACCAGAGTCGTTGCGAGCCGAGAAGGGACCAAAGGTGATTAATGGAGTCAGTTCAAGAAAGATGATTCGGAGGAGAAAAAAGCATCTGGGCGGTGGAGTTAAGTTGAGGTGTCGCTGCTGCGTTCGGGAAAGGAGAAGAAAGGACATTTGTTTCACGTAGGAATTGAATGGACGCCTCTATCTAACCCTAATTCCTTCCCCCTTTTTTTACAGTGAATGTGTTTTTTAACGTGGCCTGGATGTGGAGTCCTTGGGCTATCTTTGGGCCCGTCTTCTCTCATTTCTTATGCAAAAAAAAATTGTCAAACCTGGACCGAGTCATCACCGTTGAGCCCATTTCAACATTTTTTTTGAAAGCTGAAACTTTATTTGACCAAAATTTGGCTTAGTAGACCTTGCTGAAGGGGCCTAACGCCTAATTACTACTACACCCCATGGACTCTGTCTCACGCCCCCCTTAATTCTTCTAACTTCTTATTTTGTTTTCATTTTCTTTTTGTTTAAATTTTTGTAATAAAAGATAAGAAATATATATATATATATATATATATATATATATATATATATATATATATATATATATATATATATATATATATATATATATATATATATATATATATATATATATATATATATATATATATATATATATATATATATATATATATATATATATATATATATATATATATATATATATATATATATATATATATATATATATATATATATATATATATATATATATATATATATATATATATATATATATATATATATATATATATATATATATATATATATATATATATATATATAATAAAACAATAAAAAGTGTAGATTTTTAGGAATGCCTCTTTTTTTTTTAGGGTAATAAACTACAAGATCAATAAATTTTGTTAGACTTTTATGTGATTTTAGGAAATTAATTCCTTATTTTTGATTACTTGAAACTTGTGAATCACCTTTACTTGTTGAGTTGAGTCTTATGCAGGTTCATTATTTGATATGCGGATGTGTTTGGATTTCAATTGTGATTTATTTTCACATGGATGAAGCTTCGACACCTATTCCAAATATTTGATCTCTGATTATTTATTTGTCGATGAGAGCTCGCGCGAAGTACTCCGGGTTTCTTTGCTTTGGTTGCACTTTTTGCAAACATCATTGTTCATTTGGTATTATACTGCTTCCAAGTTATATTTCCGCATGCATCGCTTTCTAGATATCATGAGAAGTAGGAAATAAAGAGCGTGCGCTCGAAGTCTCTATTTAAAGACCTGTAGTAGGCATTCCGCACTTCATTTATTATATGTGTTGTGCTTGTGTTTGTTCCTTTCTTGTCGATCGATGAATTACTCAATTTAGAAATTGAGATCACGACTTCGCTCTTAATGCATGCTCCCTATACGATTTTATCGCCTTCCTTTATTTCTTGTTGTTCGATGAGTCACTCAATTTAGAAATTGAGATCACGACTTCTCTCTCATGGTATGTTCCCTATAGGATAGTTTGTTAGACTTTCTTTGGCATGCTAACCTAGATAGGATCACTCTTTGTATGATAACATTAGGTTAGATTCAGGTTAGTCTCCCTTTAGACTTTTCTTTCCCCTTTTGCATTTGCATTAAAACTAAAACTTCTTTTTCTTGGCAAATATATAAAAAATGCTAAGCATACAAAAATTCTTTTCATGGTAAAAAAAAATACCAACCAATCAATTTCTTTTTGCCATTCGACTTTTCTCTTCTAAGAGCATGTTAGCTCCTTTCCACTACAGGTCATAAGTCTCCAAAGGTCGAGCAGCGGTGGAATTATCAAATGCAACATTATTCATTTAAAAAATACAAACAAATAAAATATATGAGTTGAACTACGGCGCTCTGATTCCTTAAATGGGATACGTAGGCATCTGGTCACGGGGCTCAACCGAGATAAAACTTGTAAATACTTCCTTCTTTTCCCCATGTTTTCTTTGCATGCATTCCCTCTTAGTTTATAACCCCTAAGCATTAGACTGAACGCACCCTTTGATTTGAACAACGAGAGTGGATCCCATAGAGTACTATGGATGTGTGGGGTGCTAATACCTTCCCCTCGCGTAATCGAATTCCTTTACCTAATCTCTCAGTCACAAGAACTTAATTTCCCCTTTAGGTTTTTCTTCGATGATTTTCCTTTCCCTTTTATGGGATAAATAAATACTCGGTGGCGACTTCATTGATTTTACCGCTACACTCGGGTTGTTATCTTCTTCATGATAGTCCCCCTCGTCTGATGGAGTTGAAAGATCTAGAGCTCTCTTGGCTGGTCCTCTAAGTCTTCTTCCCATATACAAAACGCCAGCCAGTTTCTTTGCCTTTTTCTTCTTCTCTTTGATGACGAGAGCTTTTAGCTCTTCTTGTCCCTTAGCCGAAGCTAGGAACATTTGTTGGAACTGAGAATTCTGAGCTTGAAGATCTTTAACTGTTTGTTCAAGAGCCATTTCTTCTTGCTTAAATAAACAGCAAAGGGATAAGAAGCTTGTCCTTGGAATACCTGTCATGCAATGACATGTATGATATGCTTATGCAATGTTTTCAAGGATCTTGCAGGGTAAACACAAGGAGATGTTAGGAGTTCATTGAAGCTTTGATTGAAGAAATCCATGTCGTTGAATGTCCTTCTACAAGAATCAAGCTCACCATATCGAGTGGGTCATAGCCCCTGACTCAAGTTGTTATGTTTTTGTCTTTTGACGGCATTGGCTAGAGGAAAATAAATCCCCTTGCCCCTTGCTAGACGTCTGCTTTATCATAACCTGCATCACAGGCCCTTAAGATCCTTGAAATGGTTAAGGAAATTCTATGATGTGTATGCTACACGTCAAGCAAAATGTAGGGTGATGAAGACTAGTATGTCTTGTAGGAAATCCAAGTTATTGGATAATGACTAGAAACAAGTCCTGTAAGGAGTACAAATAAAGCCCTGCAATGAGTTCAAGTTTTTAGACAATGAAAGCAAACAAGTCACACAAGTAGCCTTAGGTTCAGGCTTGCATGGATTCCATAGGTAAGTACCCTCTTTAAGTATAGTTGGTTCAACCTGTCATATCAATAGTAACCGGGTTCTAGGGAATCTCAATATCATTGATCTTTCTTCACCAAGCATTGTTTTAGCGCAAGCCTCTTTATTGGCGACTGAAATATCCCGGAAGTCAGATCTTAATGAGTGTAGTATCGAGTATCAACCAACTTAGGACTGCACCAAAGTCGGCTATCTCACTACTTCCTAATGGCCAAATTGGTTCAATTAAAGTTTCTAAGGTCAGTTGATGCTTCATGACACCACACAGCGGCCCCGTATTCTCCTTGACTTTTCAAGGGCTACCGGGTACCAACAAATGTGTCACATCAACGTAGTTATCGGTTCAACCATGTTGGTATACCCCACACAATCCCCAAGATCTATTTCTACTTACCTAAACGGTGCCCCAGATCTGGGTGTAGGATCTTTACAAGTAAACCCAAGCAAAACCCTTAAAGATAAAGCAAACAAAGTATACAAGGGAAGCAAGTTAAATATGACCTAAGCTCTAAGGTAACCCCACTTTTATAAATCCAGAGCAGAGTCGCCAGTTCTGTGATATGGTGGCAGAATCGCCTGTTATATTGGTTTTGCATTTGTATTCGCAAATGTTGCGATAAGCAAGAGTCACCACCGAATTTTCTTTTATCCAACAAAGGAAATGGTGAAAAGAACAGAAAAAGACCTTTTCGAGAATTTTCTGAGTAAGGGGGGTATATTATGGAAAGGGAAGGTGTTAGCACCCTTTCCATCTGTAGTTTTCTATGGTCCTTTATATGCTTAGCTCATTTGAAAAATACCTTGTGCTTTGTGTGTTTTGAAAAGTATTTGAAAATGCCTTAGTGCGGCGATTCGCTTTATGATAACTCTTGTATCAGTCCTCAAGAGTGTTGATAAAGTGTTTTTTTAAGTGCAAAAGTGCAAAAGTTTGTTTTTAGAAAGCATTTAAGAACTATCTACTTATACTCGAAAAGGTTTGTTCTTTTCCTCCTATCCTTTAGACAGTGTTATCCTACTATTAGTGAGTAGGTAGCCCTATCGTTCGATGTTTAAGGGACATTCGAAGGGACATACAGTCATAAAGGCAACATATGGAGACGCTTTAGCAATTTTGTTTAGGAGACTAGATCATTTACCGAAAGGCAAGACTGTAGGGTCATCGAGGGACTATGATCTTTTGATTTAAGGGTCTTTGCTAAAGCGTCCCCATTTTCGAGGGACATGACTGTTTTATTTTCTGAAAGGCAACCAAAGTGGGTGTACCCTAGAGGTGTATATGTGCAAGTGTGTTAGGTTCAGTTATTTTAGTATTTTGTGTTAGGTTTGTTAGCTTTTGATTTTATTCTTGCCATACAATCCTATTAGTCTAGCAATTAATATATTGCAGAAATTTAAAGTGAGGAAAGTTAAAT